GTTCGCAAATGCAATCTTTTGACAGCTTAGCCGACCTGCTAACATAGAGTTCTGCAATAATGAGCCTAGCAGTTTCGCACTTCTGGTTCTCTCATCTCGAAGTCATTGTTTTTTAATGGGTTTTTGGTTAGATGTCTGAAATAAGGTCTGTTGTTAACACGAGCTGAAGAGATTTTAAAAAGCTTCTGCATCAAACCTCTCATGTGAATGTTGAAGCTTTGAAAGTGTCTTTAATTACAGATTACTCACCAGGACAAATCGACGGTCTCACATCACCCCCGTACTCCGATCTCTCCACTGGCTCCCTGTAGCATCTAGGATACACTTCAAAATTCTCACCATCACTTACAGAGCACTTCACGGTCAGGCTCCTACTTATGTAGCTAATCTATTTCACCCATATTCACCCTCCCGCACTCTCAGGTCAAACGCTCTAGGTCTTCTGTCAGTTCCACGCACACGATTTAAGACCTGTGGTGACCGAGCCTTTGAGGCAGTGGCGCGAGGCTCTGGAATGCTCTGCCCGCGACTCTACGCCTCGCAGATTCTGTGAATACTTTTAAGAAACAGCTCAAAACCCACCTTTTTAGGCTGGCGTTTGAGTAAAAATCCCATGTCCTAGACCTGCTCTTAAAATGTTTTAATTTAAATTTTTAATTTTTTTCTGTGTATGTAATTTATTGACCCTATGGTCACAATGTGTTTTTTATGCTTTTAAATTTCTGCTCTGTGAAGCACTTTGTGATTTTATGTCTGTGAAAAGCACTCTATAAATACATTTTATTTTATTATTATTATTATTTAAATTAAGAAAGGCGGTCGCTAACAAGCGGCTAAATGAGACTACAAAACGCCATCGCGCCGCCTGGTCCGCCTGTACAGCCTCGTTGTGGATACTCGGGCTCATGTGACCGCGGTGTAGCTCCGTTAGCTTTTTACTTGTGCCGATTGCATTCACGCTTCAAAAATGAATAAAAGTGGTGTTCATTAGTGAAGATTATTTTGCCGTATCATAAACGTTTCTTTGCCACAAAGCTTATTTTGCTTTAATAACCCAAAATCCGATGATGAAATTCCATTTGCATTTTGACGAGGGAACCGGTGCGGTGCTAACTCCCGTGGTCGGCCTACAAAAATACGTCGTCCCTGCAACCCTCTATTAGAGTTCCACTTTATTGCTTTACTGCCTGCTTCTTTTCTCCAACCAATGCAGGTGCATCACAAAGGGCACCAATCAATAACGGCAGAACTGGAGGTTAATTCCGCTCTCATTGGCCGGACCTGGGTGAGCCTCACTGTTTCAGAGGTCAAAGTTCAGTCGGATTGTGCTCTGGGCGAAGACAAACAAGGCCAGCTCAAAGTGGGAAAAATATCACTCCTGTCCCCCAAATAGACCTTCACACAAAATATGCATTAATGTTAAAAACAGAATTAATTTTGTAGCACGTACACTTTTTGCAGGCAACGAATCAACTCATAATACAACAGCATGGGTGAGAAAAGTGTCTGCTTCCTCTTTACAGGTGAATGGTTTACCTGTCTACCTGCTTCACTGAAAGACAGAGCATCCTCCACGGCCCGGCAGGTGTGACTCCATATGAAGCGACACTGCAGCGAGGTCCCGTAGGGGGAGGAGACCACTCACCTTACATAATCCTGCTGCTGCACTCACAGGGTCTGGTTTTGCCCTTTAAACCTCATTTGTGTCGAGGGAAATCGGAGAGAAGCGGACACGATTTTTCCCCATTTCAAACAAACAGGTGAACACAATTACACCTGCGGCAGACATTGTTAATGAAGCGGTGCTCATAATTCTCCCCAGCAGGTGTGGGAACTTTGCCAAAGAGTAATTATTCATTTTTCGTTCCTTGAGAAAACGATGTGATGGCGGAGCTGTAGATGGCAACAAAGGGACAGGAACGCACCAGAGAAGGGCGCCGACGGCTCCGACCTCCTGTTTGTTTCAGAGTATAGTGAATTTCACATGTGACGGAAATTAGATGAAAATCTGAAGCATCCTCTGGACCGCACTGCTGCACACACACACACACACACACACACACTCTGAAAACTGATGCAACCTCAATGAAAGATTCAAATGGCAGAAGCTGCATAACAAGATGCACAAACATTAGTATACAGGAGCAATACTGCCCTACATACTGTGCTATAGCCATCATGTAGTCTGCAGGTTTATAGAGTTCCAGCTCTTCAGTGAATACTTAAACATGTGTTGAGATTTCTGCTTTTCAAAAAAAACAAAACACTAGTCTATACTTTTAATATTTCAGATCGTAGGCGGAAGAAGTGATTTGGGAACACAAAGATGATTTCCACAACATTCCTCGTCTATAAAGCTGACGGGCTCTCACTGTGGAGCCTAAACACACATCACACCTGTTCTTAAATCGCTGCACTGGCTGCCTGTTAGTGTGAGCCAAAACGTTTGCTTATCCAAAGGCTTTAAGACTCCAATTCATTACATGGACAGAGACAAGAAAAAGAGGTCTGGAGGAAAAATAAATCTGAATAACAAGATATTACTGACGATTATTGTCCATTTGTTTAATTTCAGCTGGGTGCTATCTCACCTCTGTTCAACTAGGTCAAGGCCGTGTTGGTTGTTGGCTGAGCAAGTAAGAAATAAAATGTGCAGACGGTGTCTTTATCATTATGGGTCAGGTCGAGACTGATTTATATCCAGTCTACATGTATAAAGATATTTTCCTCTGCGTCCTAAAATAAAATTCTGTCCGTACCACCTTTGTCTCTGTCCACGAACAAAAACGACTCCAAGCGCTGGCTCCAGTAGGTGGCGATGAAGGATACCTTTAAGTAGCAGAGAAAAAGATTCTGAGCATGCTCAGTGAGCTTATAGTCCTTTGGCCAGTGTTAAAAAAATAGTGTTGCAATAGATATTTATTTCCTTACTTATACTTGATATTTGGTGCCAATGGCAAAAACTAAATTTGAAGGGACGGTCGAGGTGGAGTTGCTACTTAGCGTCACAATATAAGGCGATGAGAGCCCAAGGAAACAACGATTAGGAATCTTGTTATACAAAATATTCGGTCATCTCAGTGGCCTTTCGGGAACAGTACCCTGCCCAGGAAGACTCTGAGAAAGTGGAGAATGAGTTTCCTCGAGCAAAAGACATGATAAACACGTCGATGGAATGGACTGAGCTCAAGACCATCGGGTCAAAGAACCACTCGGGCAGTTTGACACGGGACGGCATCGTTTGCCAAACACTCCGTTTTACACGTCCCCGAAGTTACCAAAGTTGTTGTTTTTTTAAATCGACACCTTAAAAAGCGTTTCCAAAAATATTCGTTTCAGTGACCTAAACTTCTGTTTGCGAGCAGACGAGAGGCCACTGCCCTGGAATCAGAGGAAATGTCCACATGTATTCCAAAATGTTGAGGATTAATGTCCCATTAAGGAGGTAATATGTCCTAAAGAGACAGACTTTGGGTAGTATTGGCTCGACTGACAGACGTCAAAAACAGGTCCTAAATTAGGATTTTCTGGATCCAAGATGAACATGGTGGGTTTTTTCTTTAAATACAGATTTGGACCATTCAAAAGAGTAAACCATTGGCAAATCACGTGGAGAGAGAAAAAAAGTGATACTTGTAGTTTGTATTTGTTCCTACTGGTTTACAATGAAGTGACTAGCACAGACTAAATCAATATATATATTTTTAAAGGAAGTATGTAAAAAAAAAAAATCATCTTCAAAATCAGGCAGCTGCACACACTCTCCCTTTCATTTACATATGCACTCAAGCCCACGGACTCTGGCTTCTGAAGCCTTGACAGTCACGCACACACTCTACATACCTGTGAGCATACACAGAAATCTGGCATCTGATGTGACTCACGGGGAAAACCGCTTGATCCAACATCTGTAGCTCTCTGCTTTAATGTGCTGCGTGCTGAACTCACAAACACTGTGATGGTAAGTCCAATTCAGTGAGTAAAATAAACAACTTTAAAAATCACCTTTGGCACGTAATGGTGCGATTCTTAACCGTGATTTGGTGTCCGGTTGACCCCTTTAGAATGAGTAATACAATGTGAACGCACACACGATGCTGGCTCAATAAAGACTTGCAGCGTGTGCAGAGGGCTACCACAGATGGTGAGATAGCACCAGAGGTGCCGGAGCTCATTAAGAAGCAGGACCATACTCCGGTGCAGAGCGGGGGGGCAGCGTTGGAGGGAGGGAGGGCAGGAGAGGAAAGGAGGATGCAGAGCCCAGACCGGAGATTTTTCAGTGTCACTGAGATCTCATGATATGCTGCTGTCGGAAAAAAAACAAAGAAACGGGGAAATTATAAATTCTGTCAGTGTGTGTGTGTGTGGACAGTAACAGAAGATCTGTGTTAGTGAAAATAAATGCCAGCATGTAAATAATGAGCTCAGATGTTGCTCAGAGAAAGGCAGGCCGCTCCACGCAGGAGACACGCTGGAGTGTGGCGCCATCTGTCTGTCGCAGCTGAACTTCTGCTGGCTACAGATACGCAGAGATTTATGGACTTGGTATCAACCTACAGGGGTTTTGATGCCAGTGTTTTGTGCCGACACACAGTATTATTTGAAAAGGACTTTCAGCATGCCAACACATTACAGCCTTGAAGAGTTCCCTCCATAGTTATAGAGGAGTAATTGATGGCTGAGCTGAAAAGCCACTGAACAGATCATGATGTGCATCCTGAACCTCACTGCTGGACCTATTTAATGAGAGGACAAAGTACTTCAGGGAACTTGATGTGGAAATAAAAGCACAATTTCAGCAGATTCTCAAACATGTTCTAATGCTGAGTTCAGAGAGAGAGGGAGATATTTACTAAAAGGCCAATTTTGTTTTAATTGGCCTATTGTTGCGCAATTCAAAAGCTGCAGTCGGGAGTTCACAAAACCAGTTCTAGTTTCATTCCTTCTGGATGAAATCACGGCTCAATCAAAGCATGGGCGGAAAAACACAAACACGTCTCTTTCATTTCATTTATTTTGGAGTTTATTTTGAAACATGTGTTCTCCAATAAATGTGACTCAGATCCTTTAAAACTAAAACATGAAGTGACACTAGATCGCCTCTGGTTTGCTGAACCTGCTGCCAAACCAGCGACGCTGCGGTGCCTGGCTGTGTAATTATGCACACGGACGCAGTGTGCGAGCGTGATCCCATCAAACCTATACCACGACACGCCAAGACACTGGCAAAGAACGCAGAAGTTCCCCGCTGACTGACTCATAGGCGGCTGCAGCACATTCTTTCTGTGTAAAACTGTCACTCTCCATGTTGAAAAGAGAGGAACGTTGGCCCCTTAAAGACTCTGGGATGAATCCACCGCTCAATTGGTTCAGGATGTGTTCTTTTTTTCGGTTGTTTTTTTTCCTGGATGCGATGTCCTTGCCAAAGCAAGCCCTGCATTAGTAAACTAGTGGTAAGATGGCTCCCGTGAGGCCCGAAAATAAACAAAACTAAACAACAAAGAAACGACGGGGCTAGTCGTCGTCCGTTTTGCTTTTCTTCTTCTTTTTCTTCTTCCTTCCCGAGCCCTCCACGACGTCGCCGTACGAAGCGTCTTCCGGTTCTAATTTCACCTCCACCTCTTCCTCCTTCATCGTCACGCTGGGCTCCACGCCCTGTTCCACCTCCTCTCGCTCCCTGTCCTTCTTTTTCTTCTTCCTTTTCCTCCTCTCCTCCGAAGTGTAGCACTCCTGGAAGGGGAGCCCCGTCGTCGCTTCCTCTTGAATTTGGGCTACCGGTTCCACTTTCACCTCCACTCCCTCCGTCTTTATGCGCTTTTCTTTCTTTTTCTTCATTTTCCTCCCTTCCTCATCCTGCCACGTCTCCTCCACGAACCACTTGGCGACCAGCGGTCGGAGGGTCGCGGACGAGGGCCCCAAGGCGGCCCCGTCCGCCTCGCTCTCCGCCACGCAGGTCAACGTGGGGGTCTTGCTGCCGAACGGGTGGAACCGCTGCTTCAGGCCCGGCGGTATGGAGGGCGGCAGGGCCGCGGGGATGATCTGAGGGGCCTGGTTGGCGCCGGCGTTTCCGTAGCTCTCGCACACGTTCAGCATGCCCGAAAAGGCCGGCCCGAAAACCACGCCGCCCGACGACCGCTCGGCGCTGGTGAGCAGGTGGAGCTCGGAGGTGCCGTGGGGAGACGCCAGGATGCTGTAGATCTGCTGGCCTCCTCCAGCCTTGGCTCCGCCTGCAGCCTTGGGAACCTTCAGTGTCTGGAGACCCGAGACGGGCACCTTGACGCCGCTGAAGCTGAATGGAGGGAGGGGAGACGAGGTCATACAACGTTTGCACCAAACTACGTCATTTACTTTGAGGGAGCTCTCTGAAGCTTCAGCAAACTAAACACAGTGAATTTCGTAGCGTCTATGCTGCTCTAATGTAGAACAAACTGCCAGAAGAGCCAAGACTACTTTAAAATCCAAGCTGCCTGTTAACCATTGTTTTTAATTCATTTTCTTTTGTTTTATTGATGTCATTCTGTGGGCTTTTGCTTGCTTGCTTGCTTTTATTGTTTTTCATAAATTGTATCTTGTGTAATCTGTAAAGCACTTTGGGTATAAAATGTGCAACATAGATAAAAATGCCTTGCTGTTGCCGTTAGTATGGAGCCCATCTCCAGCTCCACCTGCTGGCCCCAGCAGACACAACCCTAACCCCCGCTGTCAGTCTCTGCATGCTAAGTGTGACTTACCTCTGAATTGCTACAGACATTGTTTAAAGGGGATCATAGGCATTCATTTGCTTCTTCCGCAGAGTCTTTGTGCTTTCTCACCTCGCGGGTTTCTGTGGATCCTGGTTATATCTGGACCGTGGTCCTGCCTGACAGCCACTGCTACAACTATTGTTATTATTATTAGTCAGATTTATATTATTGCTTCTGCTTTTATTATCAGTAATATTCCATTCTATCCACTGCTGCTGTTATTATAAGTAGTCATTTCTGTTATTATTTTGCTATTATTGGTGCTTTTACTTCTCTCATATACATCTTTTCTGTCCTATGGATTGACAATGTTGTAATTTTATTATGTTGTTCATTCTGTACACATCTATTGCTCTTCTGGTGTTTTGCCTTTTCTGATGTGAGGAAGTAGAAATTTGTGACTTTGGGGTTTACAAATGAATTCAATTGAAAATTTAATTGAAAATAAAAAATGCTATTACAGCCGTACTTGGTCTGGAATGACCAGCACCGTATGATGGCTAACGTTAGTCAACAATAGTTAAATAGATAATTTTACCGATGTAATGACTGTTATGTACTTGTGTTACTATTATGCTTCGTTTTAGCAGTCTAGTTTTGTCCTTGTAACTTTTTAATGAACATTTGTCGCTGTTCAATAAACATTACAGGATCCCTTTAATTTATTAGCTATTTATGAGTTATGCAGCCTCAAAACTGGGAGAACCAAAGCAGTGATCCACGTGTGATTTTTTTGGTTTTTAAAGATTTTTGTTGATATGAATCTTTGCTACGACACGAGAACAGGTTTATGATTCTGCTTGAGAGATTATTTGGAAGCAGTGACGTGTTTAGATTGTACCTACCATTCTGGGTTAAAGCTGGCAGGAGCTTTAATGAGCCACAACTCATCCTTGCTGCTCTCCAGACTCTCTGAGAGAGTGCTGCTGCAGGGCTTATGGCAGAAACGCACAAAGTCAGCAGGACACTGGTACGTGGTGGTCTTCTTCTCTGTGGGTCCAAACGGCACGCATTCATTATTTCATGAACACAACAACACAGGGCATAAACAATAATACACGGAAGATATTAGAAGACACACCACCAAGGCTTTGACAATTGCAGAGCATTATTTTGAGTCAGAGCTGGGCTGTTTAACATCTGTACTTAAGAAGATCTCGATTTTATTTGTTCTATTTCAATGAGTCAAAGAGTAAATATAGATGCGTTAACCCTAACAATCTGGGGCTCAGTCTGCTGTACGGTGGATTTACTTGTTTGCTTCGTATGTCTGAGTTAAACTGCCAAACAACACCAGCTTTCTGCTAAAAGAAACGCGTGAGAACTTACCAGGTTCTTTTTGCTTTCCACGTGGTTCTGTTGTAGAACTGTCCTCTTCTTCTTCGCTCGATGAAGATGATATCACTCGAGGCATTTTTATAATTACAAATAACCACAAACCGCTCAAATTACAAGTTTTCTACCTCAAAACTCATGGCGAAGGCGGACGCACATGTGTTGACACCGAACGACCTCTGACCTTTAATTACCTCACTTCCGTGTCAGTTTTAGTTGTAGTTCCAATACCATGCTGGGTGAGTTGGTTTGCGTTGACGAAACAAGGTTAGGAAACTCAAACGCCCATAATTCACCTCGCAAGGTTACGTAACGTCCCGCCGTCCGTTGGGGAAGCAGTTGACAGCAGTCAAGAGCAGGCCTAAGTGGGTAAACAAAACAAACATATGAAAAAAAGGAGCAAGAACAACCTCAAAGTTGAATTTTCTTTCATAACCGTAGGATGTTTAACATTGTTCTAAAGCGGTTTGAAGCCCGTTAAAGGAGAAATTTGAAAGCAAAGAGTTGGAGTGCACCTGTCAGAAGCTAAATAGGTTAACCGAGCTAACGTGTGCTAGCACGTCAGCTAGCTAGCTGGCTCGTTGAACTCGCTCAGGTTAGCCTGCAGCCATGTCGTCCCCCTCCTCCTCCAGGCGCCAGTGGTGCTACCTGTGCGACCTGCCAAAGATGCCGTGGACTGTGGTGTGGGACTTCAGCGAGGTGGTTTGCCGTGGCTGCGTGAACTACGAGGGAGCTAATCAGATCGAGTTCCTGATAGCGAATGCCCGACAGCTAAAACGAACACACGGGATGCAGGACGGTAACGTCAGGTCACCTGGTCCCTCGCCCAATAAACACAGCACATCTGGCAGAGGAGACGGTGTTGCGGACGGGGGCAGGCCGCACATGGACCGTTTCGAAAGGGGAGGAAGAGGAGAAAGCACCGTGTCAGCTATCCGTGTGCCGCCCAACGGGCTGCACCGTGACGGCCAGCCGCCCCAAGAAGTGAACCGTCAGAGCCCCAGCGGCAGCCGAAGACCCATGCTAGGCGCTGCTATCCCTCCTTGTCTAGTAACTCAAAGTATGGCGGGGATTCCCCATGGGCTACTTGCGGGCATGCCGGCGGGTCTGACCGCCAGGACATCCCCCATGACCAGCTCCATGATCTTCCCTGCCCCGGTGCTGGCTGAGATGAGCCGCAGACAGCTGGGGATAGGGATGGGGATAGCCCCTTTCATGACTCCGGAGCTGGAACGAGAGCTCAGTTCGTCCCAGAACCAGGCCAAAATACAGAGCCAGATCCACACCGCTGTGGCTGGCAGCAGCGCCAGCAAGAGTACCGGCATGCCTTCTTCGTCCTCGACCCTGGCTGGAGGTGTGAGCCAGACCAGTCCCAAGCCCGCCTCATCTCCAGCCAGGCAGCCGCGCCCCCTGACCTCGAGGTCTGGAGGGGAGCCCCTGGGATCCAGCACCTCAGCAGAGGCGGCCACCACAGCCGCGGCGTTACCCCACAGTGGTGCCTCTGAGCTGGAATCAGCATCTGCCAGCAACACCCATTCAACTGGTACCACTCTGTCCTGCACCTTGTGTCATGAGAGGCTGGAAGACACTCACTTTGTGCAGTGTCCATCAGTGCCAGGGCATAGGTTTGTATTGTTTTCTATTCTTTTGTCTTGTTACGGTAGTGCTATTTGTAAAGTTGTGTTTCTGTGAATAAAGTGCTTTGTTTTGGAGCTTTTAGTCCGACTAAAGAAGGAATTTAAGACCTCATTGTATTCTCTGGGCATTTTATTTGTTATTACATTGTATATACTACAATACATGATTACTTACTTAAACAAATAGTTGGTTATTACTGCAATTATCATTAGTCGTTGGTAGTAATATTTATGTCTCACTCCTAATTGTAGTAACGTCCTCTCTACCGTCCCCAACTTAAGGTTCTGCTTCCCGTGCACCAGAGTGTACATCCAGAGCCGGCGGGGTGATGGGGAGGTGTACTGCCCCAGCGGAGAGCGCTGTCCGTTGGACATCTCTCCCAACAGTCCCCCTTGGGCCTTCATGCAGGGAGAGGTCTCCACCATTCTTGGCACAGCTGGAGCAGGAGCTGCCGCACCCGGAGCGGGGAACGGGCCTGGAGCTGCGGCTGGGAGCGGAGACGCCGGCGGAGACGTCACCGTCAAGAAAGAGAGAGAGACGTGATGACGGGTTCCACGGAAACCAGACCAGGACCCAATACAGTACCAGGCAGGTTCTGTTGCATTGTGATACCATTTTATAAAGAGAGCACCTTAGTTTACACCATCTGCATTTGCTATGTTTTTGTCCGTCCTCTCTGACAACTGCTTCAGGTTCAGGTTTGTGATTAGTTTATCTGTTGAATATATACATTGTTTTAATTTCAATTGAACAGGCATTTCCATTGTTATTTTATCAATACAAATGTCCTGAATTAAGATTCCTCAAATTTACCAGTATTTTTATTCATCTTCCAGGCTCTTTGGGATATTGGAATATCAATTTTTAAGCAACAAATTGATGAGTATTCGGTAGATGGATGAGGGATACACAATGACTCATCAGTCTTAACTCCTTAACAAGAGGAAGTCAGAGTATTGTAAAGGTTTTGTAACTGTATTTGTTCATTACTCACTAGATTTGCCCAATCTAGGGCACACAGCTCTGATATGGTGGGATGTTTACCCTGCGTAATTGTTTGTTGTATATATTGTTTGCTTTTTTTTTTGTCGCTCCAGAGTCTTATCACATACCAGAAGGAGATGTCTGCAGTGGAGCTCTGTGAGACCCAGTAGACCCACACAGCGACCCACAGTCCAGAAAACCTC